CAAATCAAACTCTTTGTTTTCCTTGGATATATAATGGCACCACCGTACAGTTCTAACACACATCGTCTCCCCTGGAAACCCAGGTGTCTATTTCCTGACTGAGCTTTTGGTAGAAACAAGAAAACCTGTTGTGACTTTTGGGCTGTTTGGCTTCTGGCTGGCTGTAGTCCTTGCATTGGGCTCACCTCTGCCTGACTCTCAGAATAGGGACTGACAGGCACCCATCACCAAGTGAGACATTTCCTCAAAGTTTGGAGGTTTCCAGGATGCCACAGAGACTTATATAACCAGGGATATGAGAGGATTTGGGGGTAAATTAAGCAGAATAGCATCTTGGAATAGTTGGACTTAAAGGACATCATTAATCTCTAAATCCTTGCAACGATTCTGGTATTAATTCTTCTAAAATAAATAATTACCATAATTATTATCCCTCTTATGGATTAAAAGACTCAAAATTATAGTGCATGTAATTGTTCCAAAGTCTAGAAGCCAAAAAATCAGGCACTGAAGAGTAAGTCCCCACGGAAAAGCACAAGACCTGTTAACATCCCTATAACATTATAGACCATTCCTCTACTCCCTTACTAAAGTCCCTGAATGAATGTGCTTATTCATTCTGTCTTTTCTTCCTCAGACACAATGATTGACCATGAAGCCAGGCCCCAACCCAAATTGTTTCTGTTTATATTACCAAAGACCCCCACACTGATGAATGGGCAATATGAAGGGGTACCCCAAAATGAATTTTTTTTGTCCAAAGCTATGTGTTTAAATATTTTTTACAAAACAACCTTACTACCTTTAAAGTACTTTCCATTACACTTAATACACTTGTCAAGTTCACGATTTCATTGTTGGAAACATTTTTAAGATTCATCTGTTTGGACGGTTGACACCCCCTCCATCATTTTATTCTTCACCTCTTCTATGTCAGCAGTGCTGTTCTCTCATGTTCTTCTGCATTTACAGAAACAAAAAGAAGTCACTTGGAACAAAGGCAAGTGAGTACTATGTGTGGTGCAAGAGAGGCATGCTGATTTTTGCCCAAAACTGGCTGCACAGAGATTGCTGCATCAGCAGGTGCGTGTTGTAGTGGTAAAACCAATCCTCAAATGCTACAATCAGGCCTTTTTTGGTCACACACTCTTATGCAGTCTTTTCAGAACCTCTAAATGCAAAGCTTGATTAACACCCCGACCTGGCTGAGTGAATTCCAAATGCACTACGAATCGACACATGTGCATTTGCTCAGGAAATTGACAGGTGTCCAGAATGAGTTTTTGTCATCAATCAACATTTCACCTTTTTTTTTTTCATTTCGCCATTTTTGAAGTGAGAAAACCACTCATACACTTGAGTTTTCCCCACAGCATTGTCCTTGTAAGCTGTATTCAATATCACTACAGTTTCCCAAGAAGGAAACAAGATTTACAGCCACACGCTGTTCTCTTAAGTTGGCCATCACAAAAAATGAGATTCAAGTAAAACTGCTTTCACAAAAAAATTCACTGTGACTAGAGAGAATCTTCCCAGGCCCCCTAACTCAGAGCGAGTTTCTTGATGCTCTCCTAGTGAGAACAATGCATTCTACAGAAAGTTCTGCTCTACTCAGCACAATTCTGAGAATGTTGGGCACCAGATGGTTGTAATACCTTTAAGACTCTGTGCCTGCTTCACCCTATCTTTGCCCTTTAACACAGATACCAGCACCATGATGAAGATAGAGCCAGCCGTGGTACTACAGTCAGATAATGTGTCCATTATTAAATAGATGACATGATAGTAAAATAAGCCTTTGCTGACTTTAGCCACTATGATTTAATAACACACTACTCTAACCCTTCACTCAAAACTCACTGCCCTTGAGTCTATCCCAACTCACGGTGACCCTATCGAGCAGAGTAGAAGTGCTGCTTTGGGTTTCTGACACTGCAAATCTTTATAGGAATATAATGTCTCATCATTCTAAGGACAGCTGGTCTTTTCAAACTGATGACCTTGTGGGTAGAAGCCCAACATGTAATCCACTACTTCACCAGGGCACTCTCACACTAACCCTTGGCACTATACTTTGACAACATACCTTGAAATTTCCTTAGCATGTCCCTCATCCCAGGAATGTGACACACTGTCTTCAGCTCCATGGGAATGGTCTCTGCTTCCAACCGTGTAATAGATTTACT